ATCGCCAAGCTGCTTTCTTTCTCTTTCTCTCTTTACTTTGAGCATTTACTTTGAACAATTCAATTGTTGACATTTACATTCATAGAATTGCCATGCTAGAGTAGGATTGGAACATATGTTGCTAAACTTTTGTGCAGTAGATCAATAGAAACACTTTCTAGGCACAAGGGGTTAATTGGGCTTACCGTAGGGTTTAATTATTGCAAAGAAATTTAGAATTGGCCCAATTCACCCCCTCTCTTGGGCATCTTGATCCTTTCAATGTCTAAGTTTTTTTTCTCAGTACCTTTCTTCATTGCCACAGTCAAATTTTGGAGTAAAAAGGAAAAACGCAGCAGCTCATGTTCCAGAGGCTCAACAAGGTAATTATATGCTCCTTCCTGTACTTTATAGCAGATGGTTTGATTCACCAAAATTTTACTTGTATACTTTTGAAAACAGCCCCGGTGTTGAACATACAACTAAGAAGAAGGGAAAACACAGCACCTCGTCTTCTGGAGCTTCAGCAAGGTATTTCTGTTGTCCTTGTATTTTTTTAGTCAATGCATTCATTTCTTCACAGCTAAAGTTTTCCACTTTTGAAAACAGCCAAAGTGTTGAAGAAGGAAAACGCAGCACCTCATCTTCTCGCAGGCTCAACAAGGTAAACTCTGATTTGTATTCTGTTTATGAGCATTTTAGTACAGACCACCTTGGACCACAATTTTTTGTCAAACTTAACTCATTAGAGAGGGTGACCACTTGTACATGCACAATTGTAGGTCAAAAAAGGGTCCAATGAACTTGAGCCCATGAGCATAGATGGTGATCACACTAACTCAGCTGCAGGACATGCATCCAAGACAACTAAGGCAAAACCAAAGGTCAAGTCTAAACCAAAGGCAAAGGGGAAAATAAAGAATGACATGCAAAAAATTCCCATGAAATCACTTGACAGCCCTGTAATGGGCACAAGAAGCAAAAAGCAAAATGGTTGTCCCTCCTAGCCCGACAGCAATGAGCACTAGGAGCAAAAGAAGGCTCACCTGTGATTTCTCGTGCCATCTATGTACCATGTAATATGTATAGTTTTCTATTGTCTTCTTTATGTGAACTTGGACACTTGATATATGTGCGAACTATGTGGTTTGTGTGGCTTAAGCAATCTATAGTTGCTAATGTATATAGAGATCTCATCTAAGCTGCTGCTGTTTCAATACATTGGTCAAAAAAAATAATGTTGTTAAAATTGTTTATTGTTGAAAACAAATAATCTGGCAAAAAGGGCTGATGTTACATTGCAAATGTCCTGCTTCTATACAGATGAAACATCCATTGCAAAATGATCTGCATGAGTGAAATAGGGGTATAATGGACTTTTCCGCTGCCAATTAACGGTGTTAGTTGTCTATACCGACGTAGTGCTAGATAGGGGACCAAAAATAAACCCAGTGCTATATTGAAAATTTTTAATCTTTGGATGCTATATAGGGAAGCATGTCATTCTGTGATGCTAAATAGGAAATTTTCTACTTCATATATGATGGACTGGAGCATTCAATTTTTTTTGCTCGAATACATGGATTCTAGCTCATTCATTCAATAAACCCCTGGTAGAAAGCGTGTGGGCACTACTGAGATGAGTCACGGTCACATGCCTCTTTGGCACTGTCATTAAGACCCTCTTTTGGTAGGGTTTTAGTTTCTCTAAAAACGCCTTTGGTTCTAACTTTTTTTTTATAAAAGCAGTTTTTTCTGGTGAATCTAAAACTATTTTGAAAAAGTTTGAAAAAACAATTCTTCTATTTTGAGGAATAGGTGGGAGACATCAAATGTGCAAAATGCCCTTTATTTGACTTCTATACACAAGTTGTCAGTGGCATCTTCGGACTTGATGAATACTATTTCTAGGAGCATGGAAGCCACATATGAGCTAGGGGAAGTCATGTTTTTGTGGTTTCGGCTTCTTATGAGAAAAATAACCACGGTTTCACTAGTTTTAGCTTTAGGAGCCGTTCCTCGTGTATGTTTGGTAGGGCTTTTAGGCAAGTCTATGGGGAAGGTTCAACCAAAGCCACGTTTACTGTGTGTTTGATTTAGGGACCAAGTGGGTTGGGATGGGTCTAACCCAATTTTCTGGGATGAGATGAATCCATCTCGTGTTTGATTAAGAGGGTGGGTTAAACCTAAAATTTTTGTTTGGTTGGAAGGGTGGAGAGGGATAGAATGGATGGCATTTTGACACCATTATTAGTACCCGTTAGTGGGGCCCACTTGTCATCCTCTTTATTTTTTCCCTTCGTTATCTTCTTCCTCCTGCTCGCCCCCAGCTCGACCGGGAAGGGCATCATGCTTCGCCATAGCTCTGCCCCAGCTCGACCGCCCTACCTGCGTGGTTGCCGCCCGCCACCAGCTTCGCCTTGGCCGGCACCAGCTCAGATCTAGCTCTTTGCCACCGCTCGAGATCCAGCTCACTCCGCCATGGCCACCGCCTCCCGGCCCCGAGGCTCGCTCGCCATGACCGCCACCTCCCTAGGCCCAAGCTCGCTGCGCCATGGCCCAAGCTCGCCTACCATGGCCGCCACCTCCCCTATCCCGAGCTCGCCCGCCCTAGCCGTCGCTCGCCCACCCGAGATCCGAGAGAGCCGGGCTGGGGACGAGGACAACGCCGCTTGCCGCCCTGCAACCTCCTAGGAGGGGGAGGAGAAGGAGAGAGTTCACTGACGAGCAGGAGGGGAAGGAGATGGAGCTCATGACGCCATCCATCTGGGTTCAGCTCGTCCGCCCAAATAGAAAGGCTGTTTGGTAGTCCAACCTAGCAGGCTAGCACTGTTGCCTATCCGGTAAAGGCCCAAACTTCGCTTTGTATAACTAATTTGTGTATGATTTTGTATGACTCACTTTATTTTGTCTCCAGATACGTCAAAGGAATTAAAGAGCAATCCTCGTTTGGAGCATTGTTAGAATTAGTATGGCTTCAAGTAAAAAAGAAGGTGTTGATCAGGCCTCGTTTGGAGCATTGCCGCTGAGTGGTTCAAATAATCTTCAACATGCTACATATATATAACCAACACATGCCGGAAATCACATTTCTGGTATGCATTTTTTTCATATACTGTTAAATTTCTCATATTAGGTAGATGTGCTTTGTTAATCTACATGATGGGGACATGCAACCATTATAGGTTGATTAGATGTGCCAGTACAACTTTGTGTTAATGTAAGGTCCAATGTTCTGAGCGAAGGAAGACATACTACATTAGGTTTTTCTTTTATTTCTTGTTCTGGTGATGGGTACAAGGCTTTCAGGATCCATTTGTAGCCGAACCTGAAGGTGGCATGCATGATTTGAAATGTGACCTTAGAAATCGGCAATGCTACCATTAAGACGTCTGGAAGGCTGGACGCCTCGCTCCACTCACTGCCGCATGCGCCGCTCTCTAAAAAAACAAAATCAACTCCCGCAGCTTCGCTCCGCTCTGCTCCGCTCCCGCCCTTACCCCTTCCGCGCTCCTCATCCCCTGCCACAGCACACTAACTCCCCGCGTCCTCCCCCAACGGGAGCCCCCAATGCCCACAGATCCGGCGGCCTTCACCGCAACACGGCGAGATCCATGGAGCAGGAGCGAGATCCACTTGCCTCCAGCAAGATCTATGGAGGTGGCGTGGCGGTGTTGCAGGGGGAGTGGGTGGCTCTCCTCCACCCCGGCGCGGCGCCCTCCGCCACCCCAGCGGCACCTTGTCTCACCCCGCCGACCAAGCTCCCCCCACCCCGGCAGCCATGGCGCTCCTCGCCCCCCATCCCCCACTGTTGCCATCGAGCCAAGCCCGGTACTGGTGGCGCTGGTGGCGGTGGTGCTCGTGCGCCGCCACTCGCCGCCAGCTCCGACCCCGACGGCTGGAACCGACCAGCCGAGTCTTTCCCCTCCCCTGTGTTGCAAATGTATATTTTTTGGTGTTCTAGTCGTTTTAAAGGTATGTTGCAGTTGTTTCTTATGGATATTGCAAAAGTAGATCGGGTGATGTTGCACATGTTGCATACGTTGCACGTGTTTCAGAAGCTTGTTGCAATCGTTTGTTCAAAATGTTTCATCTGTTTCTAGACGTATGTTGCAATCGTTTTTTATCTGGATGTTGCATATGTTTTCACACATATGTTGAACAGTATGTTCCAAATGTTTGGGCTATTTCAGTCTTATGTTGTAGTAAGTGTTTTTTTCATGTTGCAATTATTTTATCTGGATGTTGCATATGTTTCACACACATGTTGCAAGCATATGTCCCAAATGTTTCATTTGTTTCAAATGTATGTTGCATTGGAGTGTTTCATGTTGTAAGGGCAGACCGCCGGCGTTGGTGTCCATGAGGGCGAAATGCAGGCGTAAGCTTGAGGCCACCGACACGTCGGCGCTTTTGTCCCAAATGTTTAGACCTGATTTCTTCATGAGGAAACCATTTTATGATTTTGCTCTCTTTCTTCATTAATTACGTTGCCATGTCAGCGTTTTGCCTACGTGGCAAATCATTTAATGAGGATAGAAATCATCATCAATACACCATTGGGACTACCTAAGTTGTGTTCCTTGAGTTATGGCAACGAGGTGATACTAAAGTTGCGCTTACAGTTCGCACACTGACTAACGACGACTTGAAACCATCCCGCACAGCGTCCTGGTTCTAATTGTTCATGCTCCGTGAAGAGTGATAGAATTGAGTACAAACGGAATGTTATGAACATCACACTCTAAAATCATCTTTGGTAACAATACAACACACGTCTGAATTATCGTGGCATTATTTTATTCCCGTTGCAACGTACACGGGTATGATCCTTGTGAACTAAAAATATATAGATATGTGGCTGATTCTTCATTTCACATGTTATTTAAAAAAAAGATGGAGGTGGAAAGTAAAGTCCACGTCGGTCGTCACCACGGCTAGCTTATCTTGCCACTCACCACATCCGATCCAGTGTGTGCACACACGTACACAACGATATGCATGATGTACGATTGATTGATTTAAACTGGAGTCGCCATAGCCTGCAGTGGTGTAGCCATCGACAGGTTGAGCCCAAGCCTCTCAGTCATGTCCAGCCCGTTCTTGTCATCATCAGCCGGAGGAAGAAGACTCCACTCAAAGCGATGCAGCAAGGACGCGAGCATGAGATGAACCATGCGAAGCGCCAGCGGCATCCCCGGGCACATCCTCCTCCCGGACCCAAACGGCAAGAGCTCGAAGTCTCGGCCGCGGAAGTCGACTGCTTTCTCGTCGTCCTCTGCTACCAAGAACCTCTCCGGCATGAACTTGTCCGGCTCGGGCCACACCTTGCCGTCGTGGCCGATCGCCCACACGTTCACCACGACGCGTGCGCCCTTGGGCACCGCGTAGCCGCCTCGGATCTGCGTTGTCGTCTCGGCCTGGTGCGGAAGCAGGAGCGGCGCCGGAGGGTGGATGCGGAACGTCTCCTTCACGATGGCCTGGAGGTACTTGAGCTGCGCAATGTCGGACTCCTCGACCTCCGGTTTGGAGCCGATCACCTGCGCGAGCTCGGCACGAGCCTTCGCCATGGAGGATGGATTCAGTAGCAGCTCGGCCATCACCCATTCTACCGTTGCTGCGCTTGTGTCGGTGCCGGCACTGAATAGGTCCGACAGCAACGACAGGAGCGTCTGACGATCGAAGCCCCGGCCATCCTCGGCGCCGCGGTAGTCCAGCAGCACGTCCAGGAAGTCTTTCTCTTTCTTGGGACCGGCGGCGGCGGCGGCGGCGACGCGATCCTGCAAGCGGCGCTCGATCTGCTTGTCCATCATGGCGTGAAGCCGCTGGAACAGGCTCTCGATGCGCCTCCTCAGCCCCTGCGGGTCCAGCCGCGCCACCTCGGGGAAGAAGTCCGACACGTTCGGCAACCCCACGGTGGCGTTCAGCTCCGCGAGAACGCCCTTAAACGATGACGATGGCGACGAGCCGCTGTCGTCGTCGATGATGTCGATGTCAGCGAGGTCGGTGGAGAAGATGGTGGAGGAGAGCAGGTTGAGCGCGGTGACGAAGGCGAGGCGGGCGACGGCGACTGGCGCGCCATCACGCGCCAGCCGCGCGACGTGGGAAACGAGCCGCCGCACCTTGTCCCGGCGGAGGGACTGGTGCGTGTCGAGGCGGTGCGGCGCGAAGAGCTCCCCGGAGCACACCTTGCGGAGCGCACGCCAGCGCGGGCTGCTGGTGGGGAGCCACGCCATGGAGTGCGTGTAGTGCGCGAACGCGTGGGTGCCGTCCGGGAGCGAGCGCCCCGAGAAGGCGGCGTCGTGGCGCTGGAGGACGTCGCGGGCGGCGTCCGCGGACGAGGCCACGATGGTGGTGACCGTGCCAAGGCGGAGGGCCATCACTGGGCCGTGGCACTCCGCTAGGCGCGCCATGGAGCGGTGCGGGAGGGTGCCGAGGGAAAAGAGACTGCCGACGAGAGGCAGCGCCCGGGGACCGGGAGGAAGGTTGCGGCGGCTGTCGGCATAGAGGCCGAGGAGGTACAGGGAGGAGAAGACGAGGACCAGGCAGCATGGGGCGTACAAGAGGAGGAGCTCCATGTCCATGGTGGCCGGGTGACAACTAGCTTGGTGATCGAGCTTGTGACGAGAGCTGTCCGGAGCAATGCAATGTACATACGCTTATATTATATATATAGAGCTAGGGCCTAGGGCGCAACACAACTGTTGATTGGTGGATCACAGCGCCGCAGGGGATCGGCATCACATCTAGATTACTATACAAAAGGATTCTTATCATCGTCTCTTCACCGAAAGGGGGGGAAAACGTGTAATTCTAGAGCCTCCAGAGCATCTCCAGCAACACTACTCAATTGACCTCTATCCCTAATTTGTGCAGTGGAGACTTAAAAATTCAACTCCAGCAGCCCCCTGGGCCTTCCAAATTTATTGGCCTCCTATTTTTTCACTCCCACCACCTATTCCTGTTGCCCCCCTACCTATTTGACAACCCAAATTTTTCCTTTTTGTTTCTTCTTCGTGTGAGCTCGCGATGTCTTCCCCTCACCCTGCCAGCATGTCCTTGTCCCAGTGCGGGAGGCGGCATGGCCATCCTCGGTGCGGGCGCGGCTCTTCCCAGCGCGGGCACACCTCCTCGGGCTGCCTGCGGCCTATGGCCCTTTCTTGTTGGTTGTCGATGCGTGCCTTCCCTACCCACATAGGTGGCCCGTGCCTACGGTCCTTCCCCGCTGGTGGCAAGTGCAGTCCTTCCCTGTCTCCGACTATGGCCAAGTGCTTCAATGGCGACAAGGAAACAAAGAGCATGACATGTGGGTCTCACATGCCATTCTCTACTAGCATGGATTTGGGAGACTTGTCTTAGGTAGTGTTGCTGGAGAAGACCACAAAGATTTAGGTAGCATTGTTGGAGATGCTCTTACAAATCAAAAACTCAACATCGGCTGAGATCAACCGGCGTATCCTCAAGGAGGCAAGTGTTCTCAAATATATAAAGATACACACCTTGCTCGTGTTCTAAAAAACAAGACATCGGTAGCCTGCTTGTAGCTTTCCACCAAATTGATTGACGAAATCTTGAACCTCACTTCTTTTTATTTACTTGCAATCATACATGGGATTATACAATTTACAGAGAGGACGAGCAAGGATGGTTACAAACATCATAGCATGAATAGGCGCTGTACGTCTTTACTAATATTATTATAGATATTTTTCTTCTCGAATATGTAGGAGAGTTGTGTATCATTATATTAATAATAACCCATAGAATACAATGCACACACAGACCCAGACAGCTATAGTTTAGATACGATCACACCTTTGAGACAACCACAACTCGACCCAGACCCACATTCAACTATATAACATCAAAGTGGTAAACACTGCTAGACACTAGACACTAGTCACTAGAGATCGATGTGCCTCCTCACCAATCTGTTTATTACTGTTGATAAGTGTAAGAAATAAAAAAAGAGAGGCGTTTGGTACAATAATAGAGCAAATTAAGAGATCAGGTTGCTCATCAGTGGTTGAAATCTCGCTATGCATTTCTCTTTTCTCCTTTGGTCTTCTGTGTCGCTGCTGCTGTAGTAGGTGTATGCGGTCTATGTTTTGATTGTGTCGTACGGTAAGGTGCAGGTTAAAAAGATAAAATAAGCAAATCTGTTCCGCTTTAAGATCCTAACTATAGTGAAGGATTAGGTGCATGAGGAATTTGGAGCAACCTTTTCAATTAATTCAGTAACAAGCATCATATAAATACGGTCGAAATAAGGTGACGGATGCTATGGCTCCGTCCCCTCCCACCTCGTCCTGCGCTGGCGATGGCGGCTGCTCCACAACGCCCTGCCTTAGTCGTCGTACCCTATCACGTCAGTAACAACTCCACATACTCACTCACGACACCCGCCACTCCGGTGCCGTCGTTCAGTGCCCTACTGGGTCGATCTTGGCCCGCTCGAGAATAAACCCCAATGCGAAAGAGGATTAGAATGAAAGAGGGGTTGTCGGGGACCGAATACCGGGGTACCCAAAGAGAAGGAGCTAATAACCATCAAACGTTGATTCTTTCGAATAGACAAGAACACAACTACACTTCTTGCCCGAATGACTGAAGATTGGCTCCGCCTCGCCCGACCCCCGAGGGCTAGACTCCGCCTCGCCCGACGTCCGGGGGCAGACTCCGCTTCGTCCGACGACCGAGGGCTGGCTCCGCCTCGCCCGACGTTTGAGGGCAGGCTCCGCCTCACCGGCGTCGGGGATAGGCTCCGCTTCGCCCGATGATCGAGGCTAGCTCCGCCTCGCTCGGCGTCCGAGGCGGGCTCCGCTTCGCTTCGGCGACCGAGGCGGGTTACGCCTCCTGAGATGTCTCGAGGCGGGTTCCGACTGCCCAACGTCGGGGACAGGCTCCGCCTCGCCCGACGTCCGAGGGCAAAGCTCCGCCTCTCGCCGACGTCCGAGGCTGGGCTCCGCCTCGCTTTCGGCGTCTATGCGCTACTCCTTCATAACTACTGGCGTGTAGATAAGGCATGGCACTCAAGTCAACCGCATATCACGAGGACCATACCACCTGCGCTGCGGGAAGTACCGTCGAGAGATATGACCAGACGGGCGCTTTTAAGCCCTTCCAGGCATGATGAGCCCAAACAATGTTGTGGGCGCCGACATTTATCCTACAATGTTATGGGCGCGGCATTTGCCCTCGGACACGAATCTTGACGGCAACATACGACAACCACTACGGTCCAAGAATGAAACTCATGTCATCTACATTAATAAACGTGGGGCATCTCGCCATCTACTCCCCATAGGGTCGTGGCTCGGCACCTAGTGCACCGCGTCGTCCGTCGGGGACGGGGCGGGACATGACCACTTCTTCGAACGAAGCGAGTACGGCCCTATCGGGATCAGACGAACGTGCTATCCACAGCACCGTCTGCCCCGTGTCGGCAAGGCAAGCTCAAAGGAAAAAAAAGACCCGGCACCTTGAAGGACCTTCTCGCCTCTAGTTTTCCCTCTTTCTCCCATCTCAGAATCCCTGCTCCCCCTTGATCTATAAAAGTTAGGGGCGGGGCACTCCACTAAGGGACGGATCAATCCTACACACCACATAACACACGGTGGCAACAAACCGAGCTCTCAAATACCTTTTGACCTTTCCATCGAGAGGCGGGGACCTGTCCCTCTCGACCGTTTGTACCCCCTACTATGAACCTTTCAGTGCTAATAACATGAGCAACAGCAGCAGACCGGACGTAGGGACATTCTGTCCGAACCAGTATAAACCTTGTGTCTTTTAGCACACCATCCGGACCTAACGCGCAACAAATATAAATTTACTAGTTGGTGTTTACTCGAAACACCGACAGTTGGCGCGCCAGGTAGGGGACCTTTGCGTGTTTTGACATTAACATCAGGCCACGGATGGCTAGCCACGGTATCAGCTGGGTCCCAGGCCCACACGTGCGCTTCGGGAACCTAGACTTTATTATCACGGTGGGAGAAGAGTTGGCATTGGCTCACACCGCCATCCAATCTCTCCCCTCCATCGGCCTCAACTACAAGAGGCTCGAGCACCAGCCTGGTGTCTCCCTGGGACCCCAGCAGTCCAGGGAGGACCAGTGCCGCCTCACCCTTTCCGACGCCAATGACATGGCGCGATTCGCCGGAGGAGGATCCCTCTCTCTAAAACACCACATACGGACCGCCCCGACAATAGCTTGCGTTCGGTCTCCGCAACATCAAGCGGCGACCGTTAGCCACCTGCTGTGGCATGGCGCGTAGTCACCGCCCCGCCTTGAACAACGAGTTCGTGGGGGTGATCGAACATGTCACGGGATCTCTCCACATCCTCCTCGTAGAGGAGCCAGGGTCGTCCTCTGGCTCTGACTCCAGTAGAGGGAGCTATCACCCCTCCCAGGAATGCTTCATGATGGGTACCCCCAAGGGACACGTCGAAAGCGTCCCTGCGGAGGAGGCTACCCCGTCGGGCAACCTCGGCAACAAAACCGAAGGGGAGACAGTGGCCCCACCTCGCATGGGGGTGGAGCAACTGAGAGCCCGACAGCGGGAGATCGAGGAAGCACGACTCCAACTTGTGCAGGAATGCGTCGAGCTCGATCGGGAGATCGAACGCCATGGAAACGGTGGGCGCGCACACGCCATGGCCCGTGATGTAAACCAAAGGATCATCACCCACGATGAAGCCCTTCCTCGCTTCGCTCGGGCAAGCGAACATCGCCAATTTGCATCCGCCCTGCTTCCACGGTCTTTTCGGAGGCCACGACGTCCGAGGATCGTCGGGCTCACCATGAGATTCGCCGCGCTACTCGGCGTCTGGCGGCACAACCTGGCGAGAGCTGAGCTCATTGTCTCGGCAGCGCAAAGCTCGACGCCATCCAGCGCACACCCTCGGTGCATCCCGGTAGGGACGCAGCGTCGATCCACCGAGCACCACAGGCGAGGCGGCAAGCGGTAGCCGCGGTCTGGTGCATCGGCGTCTCGGCCGTAACCGCGGCGCCGCGCAGCACTCTCGATGCTCGCATGAGCGTACCCACGGCGATCAAGGAGAGGAGCCACCAAGGCTATCATCCTCGTCGCGGCGGATGCTACGACAGCGGCGAGGACCGGAGTCTGAGCCCTGGTCTATCGAGCCCTTAGGCCTTCGCTCGGCACATCCTCAACGCTGCTTTCCCGCCAAGGTATCGACCACCGACCAACATCCCAAAGTATTATTGGGAAACAAACCCCGGATTTTGGCTCGAAGACTATCGGCTTGCCTGCTAAGCCAGTGGGGAGGATAATGACGACATCATTATCCGCAACCTTCCACTGTTCTTAGCCAATTTGGCACGAGTGTGGTTGGAACACCTGCAGTCCAACGCAATCCAGAGTTGGGAGGATCTGAAGGAGATCTTTGTGGGGAACTTCCAAGGCACATACAAGTGCCCTGGGAACCTATGGGACCTCAATAACTACCGATAGAAAACTGGTGAGACTCTCCATGGGTACATCCAGCGCTTCTCTCGGTAGTGCAATGAGTCCCTAACATCGCCAATGCCGACGTTATAGAAGCCTTCCTGTCTGGG